AAAAAAAAAAAAAAAAAAAGAAGAAATCGGTTATACTACTTTTTCATTCAGAAAATAGCCACCCAAGCTCTAAATACTAAATTATTAAATTCAATAAGGTTTACCACAGAATGCTCAATGAAACGTTATCAACTATATTCACTTCAACTTAGTAGGAGCATTATATTGTAAAACTTTAAGAGCCAAACTCTTCCTCCAGGTGGCAGTATATAACTGTGTGTTCTAATCATTTCCACAGGATCTAGTCGGAATAAAACTTTGCGCGTAATCTTTCCTGTTTTTTCATAATACTTTTTCCTAGTTTTCTTTGGAATTAGTGTGAATGTTGCTGTGTCTTCTGCTGGTCTCAGACAATAATTCAGTATCATACAGACAGGCCCCCTGGCCAACATCCTTAGGCTGGTTACACTAAAGCCAGGTTTAGTGAACACCACTAAAATAAACTAGATGAAATTTCAAGAAGGATTTGTCCTTTAAAATATAAAAATGCAACCACAATATTTGGAACTAGAAATTTTGAAATTCAGTAGTTTTATACATAAATGCATTTAACAACGAAATATCTCACATATCCCCTTTCTTTTATTAAATCAATAATGTTGCAACTTTCCATTATCAAAAACTGGATGAGATCATCAGATTTTAAGTAACAAATTGCTTTGTTTACCTAGGCTCTTGAGTTCTCACAGAATCATGATCATTTCCTTCTCTGTCTCCTTTGGATGGCTTGGTCTGAGCGACCATCGGGCTCTTGCGTGACAATGGCTCCCTACAGCTGCCTTAGGGCCCCTGCCTGCTCATCTTCTTACCCTGTGGGCCACTCACCTGCCATAGTGAGCCTTTCAAAACAGATGTCAAACAATGCCCTTTCTCTCTGGGGTTTCCTATGGCACTTAAAATCTACATGGCCTGTCCTTTTTCTCTCCCTCCCTCATCTCCTGGATCCCCCATTTCCCACCATCCCCACCCATCCTCCTCACACACCTGTTAAGTCACCCACCATCATCACGGCCACCCTCCAGCTGCCTGGGCCTTAGCCAGCTTTGTTGTCTCAGCCTAGAACACTTTTTTTCATTTTCTGAGACAGAGTCTCGCTTGGCTGCCCAGGCTGAAATGCAGTGGTGCGATCTCAGCTCCCTGCAACCTCCACCTCCTGAGTTCAAGTGATTCTCCTGTGGAACTGCAGGCATGTGTCGCCATGCCTGGCTGATTTTTGTATTTTTAGTAGAGACAGGGTTTCACCATGTTGGCCAGGCTGGTCTTGAACACCTGACCTCAGGGGATCCGCCTGTCTCAGCCTCTCAAAGTGCTGGGATTTTGGGATTACAGGCATGCGCCATGGTGCCTGGCCAGCCAAACACCTGTCTGCAAAATACCTCTATGAGTCTACTCCCTCACTTCACGCACCTCCCTGTTCAAACATCACATCTTAAACAAAACCCACAAAATAAAATAAAAAAGCAATAAGACCTGCTGCAGTTGCGCCATCTCCCTCTCTTGACTTGCCCCAGCCTCTTGCCTTTCCAGGCTTTGAACATTCCCTGACACGTTCCACATTCGCATGTAGTTTTATCTGTTTCTGCAAACTTGAATACAGGTTCCACCAGGAGCAGAACTGTTTTGGTGTATCCCCAGTGCCAGCTGTTCTACAGCTAGAACAGTGCCAGGCATACAAATGCTAAGTAAGTATTTGCTAGATGCTAGCTGGGTGTGGTGATGGGCACCTGTAATCCCGGCTACTTGGGAGGTTGCAGGATTATCGTTTGAACCCAAGAGGCAGAGGTTACAGTGAGCCAAGATCATGTCACTGCACTCCTCCAGCCTAGGCGACAGAATGAGACTGTATTTCAAAAAAATAAAATAAAAAATATTTGCTGGATGAGTGAAAAAATTGACCAGTGTTTCCGCAAACTTTATTTCTACCTGCCACTTTTTAGAAATGCATTTAGTGTGGGTTTTTTAAAAGAGCTTCCACAGACTACAATCGATCGTTCCGTGGACTGGACCCAACAAACAAGTCATCGGGGAAAAAAATAGCCAAACAGGTGTCACTTATATTAAAAACACAACCAGCAAAGCAGGGAAATCAGTGGCTAACTCTTCCTGATTATTCATAAGCAAGAGAATCCCCTGACCGCCAAAATAAACACACTAGACCCTCCAAAAAGATCTTTAAAAAAATATAGCACATACTTTTGCTAATAACTATTGGTCTTACCACTAAAGACTGACAAAACAATGGCACAGAATAAGATATTTTGGGAGAGTCATACACGAATGAGTCATTTCTAAGGAGGCTTGCAACACTTGAAAGCTTCCCATGTCCATCAAAATCAAAATGGAGGTGAGCTAGGGAAACCAATTAACTGTGTGTGGTCTGATGCTTATTCAGTAAGGGACAAGACACTGAATACCTGCAGACTCTCAAAAAGCATCCAGGAATGCTGTTCAGAAACCCCTGTCTCAGAATGACACTACACCCGCTTAATGGCTTAACGCAGAGATGCAAAACTAGGGATCCATGAATCGAGTTTAAGTGGTCTGTGAATGTGGATGATGAAAAACAGTGATATCTTCATATTTGTAAACCTTAAACTGAAAAATCGGCATTTCCTTTTATCATAAATTAATGTAGGCAACAAACGTAATAATGGTAGCAGTGCCTGTGACTCCGTCACAAATAGCACAGTTATTTTCATATCATGTTTTAGCTGCTGTTCATGTCTCAAAATATTATTTGTGCTCATTGCTACTTCAGAACAGTGGTAGCTGTTACGCCTACTGCTAGGTCTTGTAATTTAATGGGCTGGCTGTTAGGTCTACGTCTAGCTATTAAGTCTTATAATTTAATGAGCTAATAAATAAGAACATATATTATCTATAATTTAAAAAATATTTTTGAGAACTATTTCAATATGTGTAGGGCACAGGTAAGCCTACATATTCTATGTTATGCAATTGAAAATATCATTCTGAGAAGGGGTCTGGAGGCTCCACCAGGCTACCAAGAGTATCTAAAGGACAAAACAGTTAAGAACCTTGGTCAAAACAGAGGTATTGCAAGAGTATGGCATTTGCATCCTTAGAGATCCATGGCCTGGAGACCTTTTACAACAGGCCAAGAAATAATACCATGGTCTCTCTGTACTTTAGATTCTTTCAAAATACATATATAGCTGTATGCATACAAAAACTGTAGATCCAAACAGACTAAGTGTGGCACACCTTAGTGTCCTATGTTGGAGGAGACCACACAATGGCCAAGGCTTAAAAATAATGAACGAGTGGCCAGGCGCAATGGCTCACGTCTGTAATCCCAGCACTATGGGAGGCCGAGGAGGGTGGACCACAAGGTCAAGAGATCGAGACCATCCTGGCCAACATGGAGAAACCCCATCTCTACTAAAAGCACAAAAATTAGCCGGGCATGGTAGCACGTGCCTGTAGTCCCAGCTACTTGAGAGGCTGAGGCAGGAGAATTGCTTAAATCCGGGAGGCAGAGGTTACAGTGAGCTGAGATCGCATCACTGCATTCCAGCCAGGCGACAGAGCGAGACTCTAGCTCAAAAAACAAAAAAAGAGTCCAAATAATTTCAAAACCTATGTCTGAAGTCCCTACACCACTTATGTGTAAAATGCGAGGAACATGGAAACTGGTTAGATATGATCCGCATAATTCAGGATGCAAAATATTCATTAACCCCAAGATGCAAAACGTATAATCTAATAACTCTTCCAGTGTTAGCAGGAAGGCACTTCCCTTTTTTAAGTAAGATAAAAGGGTTTTCTTTCCTCTATTCATAAAGCACCAAGATCAGCCTTTTCCCCAGGCCAGAGAAAGAATACATCAGCCCTCTCTGTTAAATATACTGAATACAGAACAGTTACTGATTTAAGTGATAGTTGAAAAAGGCTCATTATTTTGATCATCTTGTATTGCATAACATGCTAAAAGTGTTACAACAGCACACCCCCTCTTGTATTTCCTTAAAAGCCCTTAAAGGGGCATGAGGTAACTTTTTAGGATAACAGAAATGTTCCAAAGCGTGATTGTAGCAGTGGAAACAAGACTGTATACATTTGTCAAAACTCATTGGATTGCATCCTTAAAGTTGGCGTGGGTTTTATTAAATGCAAAGTATGCCTCAATAAAGTTGACTAAAAACACACTTTCCTACTCATTTTTAAATCATGCTTCCCTTTTCCAAAAAAAGAATAATACTCGGGTTTAAATGTTGAGTTCCGCTTTCTGTGGTGAAACTCTGAAGTCACTGTTATTCACACATCCATGGCAAGCAGAGCCCCCAGAGGGATGACTAAGCATAAGGAACTCCAAAATAGAGGCGCCTCACTCCCAAAATGTTTCTTTCCTGGACTGACAATGCAGCACTCTGCTAAAGAGCAAAGAGCGTCTCACTGGCTTATTGCAATAATAACCATTGTAATTTACCAAGTAAGCGTATTATCGCTAATCTTTGTAAATTCCTAGAAATTACGTATTAGCCTCTCATGTTTTTTTCTTGGCCAGTTCCATATGATTAGTAAGCAGGTCTGATTCGGAACCCAAGTCCCATAAGCATGTTCAATCTCAAATATATGTAAATGTCCCCAAGAAGGTATATAAATACAGTTCCAAAAGACTAGGAAGTAGATGGCAGCTTTTTTCACCCAACAGGATTTGACCCAGCAGTTTCAACATGTCTATGATGTCACACAAAATTAGAATTAGCACTGTTTTCCATAACCACAGCCAGCTGATCTTTAAGTCACCAACTTTAAATAAAAGACTAGCTGTACACAATGACTCATGCCTGTAATTCCAGCGCTTTGGGAGGCTGAGGTGGGAGGATCACTTGAGCCCAGGAGTTCAAGACTAGCCTGGGCAACAAAGGAAGATCCCGTCTCTACAAAAATAAAAATAAAAAATAAAAGTTCGTCAGCCATGGTGATGCATGCCTGCGGTTCCAGTTACTCAGGAGGCTGGCACAGGAGAATCACTTAAGCCCAGTAGTTTAAGGTTGCAGTGAGCTATGATCATCCCACTGTACTCCAGCCTGGGTGACAGACAAGATCCTGTCTCTGAACAACAAAATAAAATACTAAAATAAAATAAAATAAAAGATTGTCAGTGTAAGGGAAGCTAGTATTATAATAATGACTAAAATTCTAAGAGATAGTTCCAGATTTTGATATTTCACGATAGCATCACACTGCTTCTTGCATAAACGAAGGTGGCCATTCCACTCTGGAAATACTGAGCTAACTAAGGCCATCTCCACCAACTTAAGGGTTCTGACTGAAGCTCATTTATTTTTGAACTCGTTGTTCTACTCCACCAACTACAATTAACACAAGAATTTGAAAACAATCTCCCACAAAATGTGTTTGGACAACAGTCGTTGACATTACCAGCTCATAGATGTCTTCCTCGGGCTGTGGGACATAGTGCTGCATTTTGTTTTCTATTAAAAATTTCAGGCGCAGGTAATGAGCAGAATGATCCAGTTGATGTGTCTGGGGACAAAAGAAAAAAAAAAGAAAATGCCTGTTCAATAATAAATAGGCATAATTAGTTCTCCACCAACATATAATGTATTCCCACGACCAACAGAGATTTTTTTTTTTTTTTTGAGTCGGAGTTTCGCTCTTGTCACCCAACATGGAGTACAGTAGTGCAATCTTGGCTCACCGCAACCTCCGCCTCCTGGGTTCAAGCGATTCTCCTGCCTCAGCCTCCCGAGTAGCTAGGATTACATGTACCCACCACCATGCCCAGCTGATTTTTGTATTTTTAGTGGAGACAGGGTTTCACCATGTTAACCAGGTTGGTCTCAAACTCCTGATCTCCGGTGATCACATGCCTCGCCCTCCCGAAGTGCTGGGATTACAGGCATGAGCCACCGTGCCCAGCCCAATAGAGATTTGATACTAAAAGGGGGTATAAGGTTTCTACACTTCTTAAAACGTTCACATTGTGAACACAAACTTTTAAAATAACGTTCATTGAACACATTGGTAACATTCCAAGGATATCTTAGGATTCAACAGAAACAACTGAGTCCTATCTTCAAGTCTTATTTGATTCACTGTGCTGTCTAACACTGGTAAACTTTCAACAAAATACATCAGATCAAAAAGGTACTTAAACATAACTTCATACATAGGTGATTAAAGAACAGAATAACAAGAAAGGCAAGAAAAGACTGGATTTACAATGAGAAAAATGGTGCGCCTGGGCAAAGCTGTTTTTTCAACCACAAGAGGACAGTGGGACAGTTGTTAACAGTTTATTTGCAAGCGAGTCAGTGTGAAGACAAGGCTTTTGGATTTCAGTCTTATTTATATACTCCCCAAATGAGACTCCCTCTGGGGGCAGTGCTAATAGGCATGTGTCCAGTGATGGAAACACACTGAATGACTTGCTCAACGAAAACACTTCTAAAATTGAAATTTCCAAGGTTTCTCCTTTGGTCCAGGATGGGACAATAGATTTTTTTTTTCTGTCTAAAAAGTAATCCTTGAATTAATTTTGAGGAATAAGTACTAATAGCCGCATGGTTTTATAAATCATTCTCAGTAGACATCAAGAGGATACAGGGAAAAAGGAAAATGCTCTTCAAAAATTACATAGCAACATGAAAATACATTGCTGGAGAGAAAATGTTTAAAACAAGCGATTTTTTAAAGCATCCTTATCTTTTAGAGATAGATGCTAAAGTGCTAACAGATAGAAATGATATCATGTCTGGAATTTGCTTCCAAAATAAATAAGAGTTGGGGGTGCAAATGAGCAAGTGAATAGATAAAACTGAATTTGATCATTACAGATTCTAGGTGACAGATACATGAGAATGTATTACATTGTTCCCTACTTTTATATAAACTGGAAGTTTTTCACAAGATAAATATAAAACCTCTTCACATTCAAAGCTCTGGGTGAGAATTCCTTCAAAATAAATAAAATTAATTTTTAACTGGTTCAGTACTCTTTCTATTTACCCCACCCTCAAAAAAAATTTCTAAAGCCAAACTAACAGTATTCCAATAACTATTCCAGTAATATATATTAAATTACATCTAACAAACTCTTAGATACGCCAGACACCATGCGTAGCACTGAGAATACAGAAATTAATACGATCTAAATGCAGTCTTCAGGAGCGTCTGCAGCTGCAGGTGAGAGCTATGTAGATGTAGGCGGTGGATTAGCATCTTAAATACATACATACGTGCAGGCCAGGCGGCATGGCTCACGCCTGTAATCCCAGCACTTTGGGAGACCGAGGCAGGTAAATCATGAGATCAGGAGTTCAATATCAGCCTGACCAAGATGAAGAAACCCATTCTCTACTAAAAATACAAAAATTAGCCGGGCATGGCGGTGGGTGCCTGTAATCCCAGCTATTCGGGAGGCTGAGGCAGAGAAATGCCTGAACCCGGGAGGCGGAGGTTGCAGTGAGCCGAGATCGCGCCACCGCACTCCAGCCTGGGCGACAGGGGGAGACTCTGTCTCAATAAATAAATAAATAAATAAATAATACATACATACATACATACATGCAGAACAGGCAACCTGCATTCCTGCAAAAGCACATTTCCAGAAAGTGGAAATGAGTTCGCTTTGAACACAGAGCAGAAGGATATAATTTTCCATCAGTGATTCTTGGGAACCCCAACCTTTCTCCTCTCCAGAGTAACAGGATAGTTTGGAGCCTGCTGTGCCGGACACGGACGCCATTCACCGAACACGTCCCGGCGCACCTGGCTTTTGTCCTTTCACTGCTTATATTTGAGACCAGAAGCTCAAGGTCCGACAGACTCACAATTGTTGATGTCAAAGATAATAAGGGTGGATGCGAAAGCCCAGGGAAACATAAAACAGGGACTTTTAAAGGGTGCTGCCTACTGTCGGAGAATCATCAGGACAAATAGCAACAAAATATTAGTATTAAGGTGATGCGATGAGCAAGAAAAGTTTTCCTAAGAGAGATCGAAGCTGCAAACACCTCCTACCTACCTGGGTCCTCACTGAAATCTTTAATTAGAAGCAAACATTTTGGTTCACCATCTGTTTCCGACTGAGGCGGAAGGGAAAGAAATGAAATTTCATGTGTTCTTTGTAAGAGGAACAAATCCGCTTGGAAACCTTATCATCATCATTAATAAACACTTTGTGGGCACTCCTTAATGAGACTACCACTGAAACAGACTGTCTTCCAGAAATCAGACCAAAATAGCAACCTCACCTAAGAAGATTCTGGTTCCTGAAACCTCAATGTGAGAGACAGTCCACTCTCAGGCACAAATAGCCTAAGGAAGTCCTGGCGTGGACTATGGGGGGCTCCATCATCCCCCAAATGCTACAGTGCTGAAAACGTTTATAAATACATGCAGAGAATGTCAAGGCACCTCATCTAAATTCCATAATGTATTGCAGAGAACTAAAGAACGATAAATATAGCAATGGTAAAAAGAATGATCCTTCGCTGGGCATGGTGGCTCATCCCTGTAATCCCATCACTTTGGGAGGCCAATGCGGGTGAGCAGCTTGAGCCCAGGAGTTTGAGGCTAGCCTGGGTAAGATGGTGAAACCCTGTCTCTATCAAAAATACAAAAATTAGCCAGGCATGGTGGGGTATGCCTGTAGTCCCAGCTACTTGGGAAATTGAGGCGGGAGGATATTGCTTGAGCCTGGGAGGTCAAGGATGCAGTGAATCATGACTGTGCCACTGTACTTCAGCCTGGGGGACAGAGTGAGACCCTGTCTCAAAAAAGTAAATAAATACATAAAAGGAAAAAAAGATTCTTGTCACCACCCATATTTTTCAACTTCTTTAAGTTACAATAATGTCTTGATAACTTTAAAAAATAAAAATCAGCACAAGCAGCAAACATAAAAATTACAGTGGTCTTAGTTGTAACCTAAGAACCCTTATTTTGGTCAGTAAATAGTTACTGTCAAAACAGGACATTGGATTATTTTGGTAAAAGTTTCTGAATTACGAGCCCTTGTTAATCATGGCTGGTCTAACATAAAAGGAAATCCTAATGAATTAATTAAATCAGATCATCAGAACTATCAAGAAGAATTTTATGCTCCTGAGATATCTCTTAGTCATTATCAAAGCAAGTCAAACAACTAACCATGTTCACAATACATCTTTGTGCAAAAGAATTTCAAATGTTAATGAATATTTAAACACAGTAATTCTAAATGTGTGGCTTTGCTTTAGACATAAAACATTCAAGTGAAAATTCAAAAGAAACCTCAGACTCGTAAAACATTCAAGGAAAATTCAGTTAGGAAATAATTTAAATGGTATAAATTTGTTTTCCAATGTACATGTACTGAGTTAGCATTTGATTCATTTTGAGGCAATGCGGCCACAAATTATACCATAAGTATTATGGTACAACAATTTTTAGTTTAGTTGGCATAATTTTTAAAATTAGCATCTTACTCTATTTCAAAGGATGAAACAGCAAAACACAATGTAGATATTTTCAGTAAACAGTTTGCACCAATTAAAATAGATAACATGTCTGAGAATTTACTGCCTGAGATCTCCTAATCCATTATGTTTTGCTCTTCTATTTCTCTTCATATTCTTCCATGTCAGTCAAACTGCTAGGAGACATATAAACATGCAATTACTGTATACAGAAATACAAACATGCAGTCACTGCAGACGGAAATATGAATACACATACACACACACAAAGTGCTATTGTAGAATTTCTAAAGATACTTCCCTCCCCTTCAAAGTAACCTTTTATTGCTTTAAACACCAATGGTTATTAGCATATCCAAAGCCATAGCTGACATAGTAAAAGTATGAAATAAAACTGACACAAAGTCATGTGAATAATATCAGTAGGTATAAATGAATGAAAATATGTTGCAATTATTTTTGTAGTTGTAACGATCAGAATATATCCAAAACCTACAGTCCAACATGGTTAACTGCTATATTTAGCAACAATCATTCCAGTAACGTCTCTGACATGAATTGTATATGAAATGAAGATCTTGAAACATGCACTATACCAGAACTTGACTGGTGCTCAGATGGCAGATGGCAAACTGATGTGAAATGATGTGGATCAGATAGAATAGGAAAGAATGAGCTGAATGCAAGAGACAGAAGAAACAGATTATTAAATATTAGAGAAAGCATCTTCACCAAACATTGAGAACAATAACGAAACCAAAGACAGGCATTCTTACAATCATCTTTGTTTTCAATGGGGAAAAAAAAGCCATTATATCAGATTGCTAATAACATGGGGAACTGTTTTCTCTATTATCTCCTTCCCTCTTAAGAATAAAATCAGGGCCGGGAGCGGTGGCTCACTCCTGTAATCCCAGCACTTTGGGAGGCCGAGGTGGGCAGATCATGAGGTCAGGATATCGAGACCATCCTGGCCATAATGAAACCCCATCTACTAAAATACAAAAAATTAGCCAGGCATGGTGGTGTGCACCTGTAGTCCCAGCTACTTAGGAGGCTGAGGCAGGGGAATTGTTTGTATCTGGGAGGCGGAGGTTGCAGTGAGCTGAAATTGTGCCACTGCACTCCAGCCTGGCAAAAGAGCAAGACTCTGTCTCAAAAAATAATAAAATAAAATAAAATCAGGTCCACTAATTACAATAAGGTGTTTTCCAAGGACGAAGCAAGCCCTAGAAGGCACCTGGCCCTGAGATACCATATCACTTTCTCTACATGGGTGCTTTTCCAAAGCCCATGAATTCCTGAAATGCACATACACGCCTTCCACTTTTAAACTCATGAGATTTTTTTTCTGCATGTGTGTATTTTCAGTAGGGATGAGGTTTTGCCATGTTGGCCAGGCTGGTTTTGAACTCCTGGACTCAAGTGATCTGCCCGTCTCAGCCTCCCAAAGTGCTGGGACTACAGATGTGAGCCATCGTGCCTGGCATAAACTCATGAGATAGAAGCTTGTTCCACGCCACATTGTCTTTGCTTTTATTTCTATGTCTTGGGAAAAAGAACTGAAGATCCAGGGAAAATTGGGCAGGACTACCCTTTACTGTTAGACAAAGGGATTTGTACCATAACGATGTCATCAGAAACCTTTCAAGTGACAGAAATAAACACCTTAAAGGGGAAGGGGTCCACTATATTATCTAGATACGGTCTCTAAGCAGCAATGACAATATCATTCTTCATTCCCCTAGTTTCTTCCAAAGCAAAAGCTTGAAACATATCTAAAATTGGGCCAGTCACTCATTGCTTCACTCATTGATCAATTTTCCGCTAATCAATGGTTACTGGAAAACTCTGGCTTAACCTTCAATTCCTGATTGAGTTTACAGCGAATGCGCACAGGATGCTCCAAAGCCATGTTATTCCTCTGGAACCAGAAAGTCCTACTTTTAACACCTTCAGTTGCAGATCTGACAATAACGCTCCAGCTCTGCAGAATATTAATGGGTCTCTAAAGAATTGTGCTAATCTATAAATAAAGGAATGCAGAAATCCTCAACAGACCAATTTTGTTAAGTAATTAACATGAAAACATTGTGAAAAGAGATACCATTATCTCCAAAAGCTAGAACCCTCACACATATAGGATTCAAAGCACATAAGGTGATATCATTTATTTTAACATCCACGTTAGGGCTGTCTTTGGTTATGGCCTGAAACAAGTGATTCTTCTGTTTTTCCTCCACATATGGAAGACACTGTAAGAGGCTAATTTGAGCTGGACTGTTCCATTTCCCTGATTCACATGAAGAGTCATGTTTTTTCTTTAAAAAGCACCCTGTAGAACTACAAAGTTGAGGTACTGGCAGAGGTAGTGAAAGTCATTCAGTATTTACAAACATTGTGTTGAATGATGAGGTCTTGAAAATGTCATTTTATCCATCCAACTTCTTCTAGGATAAAATTGTGATAGAAAAGCTTTCCACTTTTTTTTTTTTTTTTTTTTTT